CTGTTTAGAGTTAGTAAGACCTAAGGAAAACAGGCCTGTTACATAAAGAGAGAATGTCTTGGTTTTACATAAACATCTCCAAAGGCCCACAATAATATTCAACTCAGCAACAATTTAAGTACTCTAAATATAACAATTACTATGTCAGGTATTACAGAAAAAGACAAAAAAAAAAAAAAGAAGGCAGATTTCTGATGAGTTCTAGTATAAAGACACAAAATTTATTGATTTATTTAATCCTCAGCTGAGGATATGTTTATTGATTTTAGAGAGAGGGAAGAAGGGAGAGGGAAAGAGAGAGAGAGAAACATCAATGTGCGAGAGAAACATCAATCGGTCACTTCCCGTACGTGCTCCAACTGGGGATTGAACCCACAACCTAGGTATGTGCCCTGACCCAGAATTGAACCTGCTACCTTTTAGTATATGGGACGATGCTCCAACCAACTGAGCCATTGGCCAGGGAAAGACACAGGTTTATTAAACAAAACAACAGCCATAGCTACTACGGAAAGATCCCAAGGTAGGATATGGTTGGTGGGTTGTAAGAGTGGAGTTACTGAAAAAGAGAATGAGATAGGTATAATGGAGCAGTCAGTCAAAAGCTTTAAATGTCACACTGAAAATTCTAGATTTAAATCTATAGAAAACTCTTTTACCTGGATCCCACTCCCCTAAAAAAATTTCTTGGATTTAATGATTCCTAGTTACTTGGTCAACCAACCTTAATAAAGAATGTCAAATCTGTATAACTAATGTTCTATCCAGTTAAACCAAGAAATGTTCTGTGAGAAGTTAAAATTGACTTCTGTAACATCACCTCAAGTAATTTTGAACATGTTCCAAATATCCCCAACAGTCCCGAATAAACCCTTATTAAACTACCCATACAGCCCTGGCTAGTGTGACTTGATGGATTGAGCACCAGCCTGTGAACCAAAGTGTCACTGGTTCGATTCCCAGTCAGGGCACATGCCTGGGTTGCGGGCCAGGTCCCCAGCTGGGGGTGTGCGAGAGGCAACCGGATCTCTCTCACACCCAATGTTTCTCTCCCTCTTTCTCCCTCCCTTCCCCTCTCTCTAAAAGTAAATGAATAAAAATAAAAAATCTTGAAAAAATAAAATAAACTACCCATACATATTTTTCTAAATACTTCTTAAACCTTAGAGTTTCAGTTTAGATTATCTCTTGGTGCAATCATTTGAATGAGATCCTACCCTTATTTGTCTCCTCCCCAAAATAATCTTCCAGGCATTAAAAGATACCTAATACCTAACATAGTTTCTGCCTCATAGCAGGCTTCCTATTTATTGACCTAAATGGTTATATTGCACCAGTATATTAACCTTGGTCATCTCTCTCATGGTTTAGTAGATTTTGATTATATTCCTCCCTCAAGAGAGAGAAATTCCCTTTTCTCTCTCTAGACTGAAAAGAAAAACAATGGGAAAGTCCCTCCATCTTTTTGATTAATTTAATTGAATTTCTGGGGACTTTTATTAGCGGTTAGGTTTTTCTTGAGAAGCAACCACCAGAATTTCCTATATGACTATGGATGTAAATCCACTTTCGGTCTTTTACATGGAAAAGATAAAGGGTTTTGTTTTGTCATGGTTTTCAACACCTTCCCTTATGATACACACCATATTCTTGGCTTTGAGGACAACAATCACAATTGCTCCAGCTTCACAGATGATCAACAGTGATTTTTTTTTTTTTACTCTAACAGCCATACTGCGTATTTTCTAACCCAGAGACTGGTGTTTCTCTTGAGATCATCCCGACTATCCAGATAAATGTACAGGTACTCAGCTATTCCAGCTGAAGAGGAATTATAATTCTAGGTCTCAGTGACCTTCCCACTTTTTATCATAGCAACTGTGTCCCCAATGGGAAGGCTTTTCTATAACAATTGTCTCGGAGAACTTTGCTGATCTCTCTGGATATCTTGACTGCTGTAATTTCCTTGTGTATACTGTTTTAAAAGTTTTTTAATTGAGGGATGACATACATACATCTTCAGTGATTTCTAGATCCCTTCCTTGGGCCATAACTGAGCCCATCATATCACAAGCATGGATAGGTTTAAATAGCCTTTTACAATGACGTACCTCTGATTGTTCTGCCCATTTGATCTCATGAGATCATCCTGCAATTTATTCTCACCAGTTTGCCCTTACTCTTTGCAGATAACTGGTGACAAACCTGAATGTTCTGTCCATTGAAGGGTGTATTAATTTCATCTCTCTTCTTCTGCACCTAATAGTTACTGTAACAGCAACTGTCCGTGTTGGAAAACTAAAATATAAAAATATGACCTATGTGGCCAAATCCCACAAAGCTGTTTACTTCCTTATTTATGAATCAGAATCTGTCAGCACAACTTAGAATCTTGACTGTCAGCAGATACTGCAATTAAATGTCCCTGCAAAGCCAGCAGAGGGTGCACCAGGGCACTAGAAATTTTACCCAAAATGTAGCAGTATCAATTTAACTCTAATAGCCAATCAACTTTCTCTCTCTTTTTTTCTTTTTGGTACACTAAAACTAATATCCTCAAGATAAATTTAAGTTGAATCTGGGCTAAAATTCCTTCAAAGCATGCTCCAATTCTCCTAAAAGTGAAGTTCAGGAAGAATGTGGGATACATAGTTTAACTTAGTCTGGCCAAAACATAGGTGGAATAGAAGAAAGTGATGCAAATCTGAACCATCTACTTTGGAAAAATTCTACCATGGAGATCCACCCTCCTCCCTCTCCCTGAAAAGGCTCCAGGAGGTAGTATGCTACAGGAGAATGGGTCCTGAACTGGGAGTTGAGACCAACTTCCATTCTTTTTTTTTTTTAAAGATTTTATTTATTTACTTATTTTTAGAGAAAGTGGAAGGGAGGGGGAAAGAGAGGGAGAGAAACATCCATGTGTGGCTGCCTCCCACACGCCCCCCACCAGGGTCCCTGTTGCAACTGTGGCATGTGCCCTGATTGAGAATCGAACTGATGACCCTCTGGTTCACAGGCCCACACTCAGTCCACTGAGCCACACCAGCCAGGACCATCTTCCATTCTAATTTTGACATAGTTGTATGACCTTGGCCAAGTCACTCCCCCTTCAGAGCCTACATGTTTTCCAAGAGGATCAAACAAAATGGACTTGTGTGGCCACTCACAACTCCAAAAAAACTCTGACTGCAATTGATGTCAGAAAATGTAAGGAGACGGTATGTGTGCTTCTGTTGCTTAAAAAACATTAAAACAGAAAGAATAAATAACAGAAGATTAGGAGCTGTATTTAAACCCAGACAGAACTATTTGCAGTGTCATGCAAAGAATAGGCAACTAAATGCCATTATAGACCTGTGAGAATCCCACACCATCACAGAAGCCCTAGAGTCCAGCTGTCCTGCTAATCCTCAGTCTATAAACATGGCTCTGTGCACTCTGAATGCCAAAGAGCCTTGGCCACCACTTGAATAAAGAAGTTCAACTCCTTCAACTTTTCACATAGTATCAATGTTCAGCGGCTAGGTATTCTACTGGGCATTAGAGGGGGTGGTGGATAAAGGGAGCTAGAATCCTAGTTAATTATCATTTAGATACAGTGTTTAAAGTTTCAAGTATGAGAAGCATGTCTAGTGATTCTCTTATATGATAAGCTGTTGTATATGTTGAGAGTTCACTAGCAAGACATTTTTAAGGCTCAGGGCAACTTTACAATTCACATCATAGGAAAATGTGTCCATCCTAACATTACAGTATCATCATGAACGCGATGCCAGCTCTGGATGGGTGTCAAAGTAGCACAAATAATGTTCACAGAGTATGACAATGACTCTGGATGTGGTAGTAAATATAGAAGGTCTGGGTCCCTCACCTCAAGGAACTTACTAGCACAATTTGCCCTCTTCCCCCAGAGAAACAAATTCACTGTTATTGTTTAACCACCTCAAAAGGATTCTTGGATGCTTCTCCTAAGTTTCACATAGGACAAAAATTCGGAAGCCAATAGGATACTTATTTTAAGTGCACTAAACTTACTTGAATAAAGAGCTAGAAAGAAAAGAAAGCAAACACCAAAGCTAATAGTTTGCTAACAAGGGCACAAACACCATAAAGGCTGCCAAAAAAAAAAAAAAAAACCCAACACAAAACAAAACAAAACAAAAAACAAACTCAACTCTTAAGAGATTGGTTTTGAGTAATTAATTATTCCATCAGCAGATTCCTGTTGTCCAGCCGGCAACAGCAAGACACTTTACACTCACCCTCTCCACCCTACTCCCCCGAAAAAGAGTCCGAACCAGCATGCAAAGGGTGAGTTTTATTTCCATAGATTTTTAAAATTGCTCTTCAGAAGTTGTCTATCAAGACGGCATATTTCTACCAGAATTCCTTAGGGGCGCTGATCCTCACTACAACAGCCAGGACAATCAGTCTCAAATTGCAGGTAAGTGTGAACAAACCCACGTTCTGGTCAGCGCACAAGGACCCGCGCTGAAAATACGATTAAAAGTTGTTTCAACGGGCGTGGAGCAGTTATTACAGCTGTTTACAGCTCCAACTCCAAATGAGAGCCTGCTAGTGCTGGCATCAGCTCTGGACACGAAAAAACAAGCACCGCGGGCAGAGAAGCTCACCCAGGAGCAGAAGGGCCAAGCTGCTGCCGTTAGTCCGCCAGAGGGGCAGCGCCCGCACCTCTGCGCCGCGGCCCGGCCGGGAGCGCAGCCAACTTTCCCCGAGGCAGCCTGTAGCCGGGGGCGGCGGGCGCGGGCCGAAGCTCCCAAGTCCGGGGGTCCTGAGGGAGTCTGGGTGAGCTGGGCTGCGGACCGGGGACAACCTGCCCCGAGGCAACCTCTCTCCTGCTCATCCACTCCCTCGCTGGTCCTGCCCTCCAACTTGGCTCGAGGTGGCAGAGTCGCTCCGGGGCCCGGTGGGGGAGGGCCCCCGCCCTAACAGTAAGGGGAGGGGGCCTCTGCCGCCGCCGCCCCAACTTAGTGACTCACCTGGTGCCCGTCCTGGGAGTCTGGTGGGAGAGTGGATTCTCCGGGTTCTAGCGGCTGCTGCTGAAGTGACGGCTGCCTGAAGTGGCGGGTGATGGGACCGTCAGGGTCGAGGCCACCGGGGCTGCTCAGGGTGCCAGAGGTGCCAGGGGTGCCGGGGCCGCCGAGGCGGGACTCAGCTCCCCGTTCCCGCCGCAACTCGGAGCGCAACTCTAGGTAGCAGCACAATGTCAGCAGGTGGAGGGCCAGCGAGAGGCCAAAGAAGCCCAGGAAGAGCCGGCAGCTGTTCCCTTCGCCCGCCCGGGCAGGGGCCCCGCGACAGCCGCAGCCCTGGCTCTCCCGCTCCCGCGGCGGTGCCGCAGGCAGGGGCTCCCTACGCTCTACTTCGGGGTAGCCCATGGCCTCCGGAGACGCCCACTCTCTGAGGCCCGGGAGCCGCCGCGTCTGCCTCAGCCGTTCACGACCCCTGACAGGCGGCTACTGTCCTGCCATGGGCTGGGGGCTGCAGGGACCCGTTCCTGCGCGACGGAGGCTGGGCGGGACAGAGCGGGGAGAAGCCGCATGTGCAGCTCCACTCCGAGGGGTGGGAAAGGGAGGAGGAGGGGCGGGAGAGAGGGGCGGCTCGGCCCGCCGAGGGAATGAGGGTGGAGGCCCGGGCCAACCCCGCCCCATCCCTCAAGCTGCTGCCCGGACGTCCAACCACCGGGCCCGCCAAGCGTGGGAGCCCCGCCCCTTGGCGTTCCACCCCGGGCCTCCAGCCGCAGGGCGGAGCCTAGGGGCGTGTGGGTTCGCCTCCGCCTGGTGGCCCCACCCAGCTCTTCCCCCTTGCCCCATCCCAGTTGGTGATTACCGCTGTCGTTCATCCCTGGACTCCGCCCCAATTTAACCCTTTTGCGCCAGTATGGGGATGGGGAGGAAAGAAGGGGGAGGCTGAGAAGAATTTGGGAACCTTAGAAAGTAGAGCAAGGAAAAGGAGGCAGGAACTAGTATTAATAGAAATGTTTGCAATTAACTGCAGTTGCTAATAACATCATCCAGTACTTATCTGTTGCTTTCCATCTTCAAAGCGTTTAACAGACGTTAAACTAATTAAAACAGTTCTGGGTTTGGAATGAAACCATGCCTGCTGTGTTTGCAACCCAATAGCGCGCCAAAAGAAAAGGAGACTCAGGAGCCAGGGAGCCAAAGGGAACGAGAATGGGGTGGAATGGAGGCAGCCCCACTCCTGGAGTGACTCTGGGGCTTCGATCTAAGTGATGAAAAAGCCCACCTGTGTCAGGTGGAACCGAACTGCTGTTGCCCCACGCAGGATAAAATAGTCCCCTAGGATCTCTTGATATATTAATTAATTAAATAAATATATATCGATCCCTTTATAATGTACCAAGTGCTGTATGAAAGAATTCACAGCCAGTATAGTTTCTTTTCTTCCACCGCAGCAGGAGTTTTGAGTGGAACAACATGTGTCCTTAGTGAGCAAATGGGGAAACTGGGGAAACTGATGGTCAGAATGAGGTGGGTTTTTACAAGGGTGGTCCGCAGCATGGCCAGACAATATTGGCATCTCTATTTGCAGGCAACTGTTCTGGCCTCTCCACCCCTCCTTCCTCTCCCTGGAGTAGTCCCTGGGGAAGGTTCAACAAGTCAGCCAAATGTTCCAGATGTACACTGCTGCGACTACAGCATCTTCAACAGCTGCACCAATCAGCAAAGGGTTCATAACCAAAAAAAAAAAAAAAAAAAAAAAGAAAAGGGAGAAAAAAAAGGAGAAAGAGTGGCAAATGTCAGAACAACAGACCCTGAAGTGAAGGGTGGAAAGGATTAGTTCAGTTGCCATTGACAAGAGTGACTAGTCTGAAATTATAGAGAGCTAAATGACCATAGCAGAGGAAATACTGGTGCTTCTTGGGACTATGCACTCCCATTCCCATGTTATGAATAATTAGCAGTTTTATTGACTTGAAGAGGGCAGGCCTACATGCTAGGCTGGACGGGAAAAAATAGGAGGAATACAAAAAAAGAGAAACAACGAAACGGAAACAAGGCATATGGTGGGGAGGTCAGTCCAAAGAGCACAGAGGTCAAAATCCTTAAATACATCAGCCACAGCCAACTTTTCTTCAGACACTCTCAATGGTCTTGGTGTTTTAGAAACATCTTTGTGTCCTCTCATTGACCCTTACCCATGAAATACCAAGTTTGCAAGGAATACCATCATCATGCAGATAAGAAAATTAAAAAGTGCATTTAACAGCTAATCTCAAGTGCTGCTGGTTCAGTCTGGGAACAGACTGACCAGAACTGCCAGGCTGATTTACCTTAATTACCACAGTCCAGGACTATTAGAAAGAATACTAGACTAGGAGTCAGTAGACCTGCTCCTGCCACCGTTTTGCTGGGTCACTCTGAGCAAGTTGCTGTGCTTTTGGAGAACTTTGTTTCTCCGACTGCAAAATGAGTAGTTTGAACTTTAACAGCCCTAACGTTGTCTTTTATCTGTTTCATCACTGACTGCTGACTTGGCCACATATACAGTTCAACCAGGCTGCCCCTTCTTCCCTTAAAGTGAAAAGGAACAATCATCTCCAGGTGGTGGTACTCAGGGACCTTCCTGGATTCAGCTTACCATGTTCTTTCTACCAGGCCTTTAACAGCTTAACTGAGACACTGGGTTACACCATTACCCTCAGAAGGCCTGACAAGTTGCATTTGACCTGAGACCTCGCCTTGGCTCCCAGAGGAAAAACACGTGGCTTCATATGCAGTAGAAATGATGGAATGGATAGTCCAGTGAGGGATGTACATGGTTAATTTTAAAGTGTTACTTCAGTTAGCTTCTATGCTTACAGAACTACTGCATCCCCTACAAAACAGGTCTCAAAATGACAGCCTCCAGGCCACATTCAGCAAACAGATGTGTGTTTGGTGCAGTGTTGGCTAAAATCTGAGTTAAAAAAGTTAATTGCCGGCATTTAGAAATCAGAAGTTCACTTTTTTAAAAAAAAATCCAGATTTTCTGCTTCTCTATTAAAAAATCAGAAAACCGCACAGGCCAGTGTTGCTCAGTTTGTTGGGCATTCTCTTGCAAAGTGAAGGGTCACTGGTTCGATTTCAGGTCAGGGCACATGCCTGGATTGCAGGCCAGGTCCCCAGTCGTGGCATGTACAACAGGCAACCAACTGATGTTTCTCTCCCTCTATTTCTCCTTCCCTTCCCCTCTCTCCAAAAATAAATAAATAAAATCTTTATTAATAAAACATCAGAACACCTGCTAACAGTGGATCCACATTCACGTATGGCTTCCGTCAGCTAGCCAACTGCCCTCCTAAGACAAGTGTGAGCAACCAAGTTCCACACAGTCATACTCACCTCCTTCCTCTAGTCTCTATTGCTATCCTTGTCATTCATTTATCTTACCTTTCTGGCCCCATTTACGCTAGAAAAAAAATCAGCTCCTTAGCATGACCTGTAATCTGCCTCTCCAACCTCATTTTCAATTATCCTACAAGGAACCTATACTCCCACAAAGTAAATTTGTTGACACTTCTCATACTTCTGTGTCTTTACACAAACTTTCTTTTTGTTTTTGTTTTTTGCCAGGAATACTCCCACCTTGGAAACCTGATATATTCTTCAAGAATCAAATCATGTGTTCCCCTGGTATGGCTCCACAACTCACTTCACACAGATTTTCCTTCATGCTTTCCCTGTATCCTGAACAGATTTCAGTGATAGACCCTACCACATCGGGGGCTTTTGTTTGTTTGTTTGTTTCTTTGTTTTCACATGCTTTCTCACCATTAAAATGAAAGCTCCTTGACAATAAAAATCGCATCTTTTCCATTTTGGTACTCCCGGTACCTAGCATAGCACCTACCACGTAGTAGGCACCAGTATTGTTGGTCAAATGAATGAGACATGAAGCCTACTATTGCTGGACAACCTAGGATGCCAAAAATGCAACTGGGCCAAGGGATGCCTGTCAAGACCAGTTAAGAAGCACCTCCTGTGTGCAGAGCTGTATAACACATTATGGAGAGAAAAAAAGGAAACTGAGTCCCATGACAGTTGTGCAACTGTCGTCTTATTTGTGCTAGTGTTAGAGTTGCAGAAAATTCCAAGAAGTAAATAATCCAGCAATTTAAATATCTTTGTTTTGTAGTGGTTCATTGAATTTCTGTTTTATCAAGTTTCCCTTCCTAACTTTATTTGGGCCAAAAATTAAAATCATATCAGTTGACAATACCTGAATAATAAATATTCAAATCAAAATGAGTTGTCAGCTTCTGGTGGAATATGATAAGGAGTTAGGCAGGAACTGATTTTAAATACCGTATTTTGCTGGGTATAGTGTACACTTTTTTTGCCCAAATTTTTGAGGACAAAATAAGGATGCATAGTATACATGGGTAGTATCTGTTCTTGTGTTTTGTAATTATTTGTTACATAAAATTTCTTGTCCCATATGTTCAAAAATAAATGCTGAAATTCCTTTATAATAGAAAAAAGTATGTAAATATAAATAAATAAAAAATTGAATTAAAAAGTTAAAAAAAAAGATTTTTTCCTTGAAAGTTTGGGCCAAAATCGTAAATGCGCATAATACATGGCAAAATACAGTACCTCTTAGCTCTGGTTAATGCACAGAACAACTCATTGACACAGACATCCCAGAGTTGACTCTGAACTGCTTAGGGATAAGTCAGTAGATAGTCTGGAGGAACATGGGCTTAGGACTTGGATTCCAGTTTTAATTCTAGCATATTCACTCATCAGCTATGTGACTCAGGACAAGTAATTTTTACCGGTCTTGCAGAGCCTCAGTTTTCTCATCTGCAAAACAGAGATGACAACACATGCTTCGTAAGATAGCGGTGCTTAAATGGGATGTTCTATGTCAAAGTGTCTGGCACATAATAAATGCACAGTAAATGTTAGTTCCTGCTATCTCAGAGACTTCCATCAAAAGGACATGAGAGGAAAAACATGTAACAGTATTCAAAAACATGACAGAAATGCAGAAAACCATCTTCTTTGCCTTTGCCAAATGCCTGTCCCCTTTTGTTACATTTTTTTAAGGAGCACAGTATTTTTTTTTTTGTTAAAAAGATTGCATTTATTTATTTTTTTGAGAGAGGGGAAGGGAGGGAGAAAGAGAGGGAGAGAAACATTGATGTAAAACTTCCAGCCAGGGACCTAGCCTGCAACCTCGGCATATGCCCTGATCAGGAATTGAACCAGTAACCTTTGGGTTTGCAAAACAATGACTCCCAGCCACACCCGTCTGGGCTTCTGTTACATTCTTACAGTTTGAGATAAAACCCTTGTGTTCTCATCACCCTCTCCTGAACTCTTGACTCGTCTATCCAACTTCCTCCTCTGCATTTCTACCTGGATGT